ATATGAAGGGGTAAATTATTGTTGTTGATTATCAATGCTAGATTAATTTCCTATTGATTGATTTAATGCTCTGTGACTAGATTAGGCCTATCTTTTATGCATGAGTTTGACAATATTGATTCAAGAATCGAGAGATGAGAATAAATGTTTAGGTCTAGTTTCAATAGGCAAGTTAATTTATAAATGGTTAAGTCAAGATTCGAGAGATGAGATTTAATACCGGTAAATTAATTGTGTGATTGTAATAAGTAGCAAGAGCCCTTTACAATCAGGTTAATTGATGCATTGATGATTGACTATTATTGATTATTGGTATTGCATGATAATTTCTTATTGGATTGTTTTAATGTTTTACAATTGCGGCTTGTAAAAGTATAGCAATATTAAATTGATGAATCGAGCAGATGTTAATTTGATATTAAAGACTATTTTCAATAAGAACTTAGATCTAGTAAATTGCGAGAGCCTGTTAGATCTATGTTGATTAATATATTGCGAGAGCCTATTAATCATGTTATTTATGCAATGTCAATGATTGATTACTATGTTTTACCCTGGAGTATTATTTATTGGTGAACCTATGCCCTAGATCCTTTTATATATTGTTTTCTCCCTATTCCTATTCTTTGTAGTTTAGTTTCATACTTAATTATAAATATTAATTACTTAGATAATTTAGATTATAATAATTAATTAGGAGTAAAAAGACTTGTTTCCCTGTGGAGATCGACCCTACTTCCCTATCTACTTTAGTTAGAGGACTTAGGTATTTACTTTTGATTAGGGGATACGACTTTACCCTGTCAACCACGAAAGTAGGCACGTTTAAGAATAAACATATTGATGACGTCCTATTATGGGATGCGAACTTCTAATGACGAACCTCATAAAAGTAATGTCATTAGTTCGATTATAAAGTACGTAAACGAACCGTTATAATAAAAAACAGTATCGTGCGCAATTTTCCGTCTTGCACTAAGGTGGAAAGTGCATCTTCAAGAGTAGCATCTACCACATACGTTTTTTTTTTTTGCGAAAAAAACATTTTTTTTGATTTTTTTTTTTTGAAAATGCAAAAAGAACGAAAAAAGAAAATTTCAATTTTTTTTTCAATAAAAACATATTTTCTTTTCTTTTTTTTCTTTTTTTTTTGAAAAAAACGAAAACGACGATCAAAGTAAAGATAACTAAGTTAGACAATGTTGTTAGCCAAAGATATTTTTTTAGCACCTACTTAACGATTAACCTTGAAGCAGTAATATCGTTTTCTCCGTATGATATTGCTCGTAGCGAGTCAAAGTCAACGTTGAACAGTGGGCGCGTGCAAGACACAGAGTTGCGCGGAGGTGCCATGCGCAACTTCTAAACTTGCGCTTGAGGGCGCACACAACTTTGACAGTTGCGCGTGCCACCTGGTAGGTTCGACAATTTTTTTTTCGAAAACGCAAAAAGAGCTATAAAAACATTTTTTTTCGAACCATAATTTTTGCAATTTTTATTTTATTTTATTTTATTATATCTCTATCTAACAAGTTGGAATTAGTTAGATTAGACACGAAGCACATATTCATGTAGTCACATTAGCACATATTCATGTAGTCACATAAGCACATAAAAGGAACCGTCAAAGCATACAATGTCATTCTAAGGTAAAGGCTTGGGTGTCCAAAGGTACCATATCTTAAGGGATGATGCACAAATCAATCACTCAATGTGTTGACCCATAACATAGCCCTCCCAACATTTTGTTGGCGATATAGGTGGGATGATTGTTATTGATTTTGGGATAGGAGCCTAGTGTTGGCAACCCCTAGTCAATGAGTCAATCCCCAATGGTTAAAGTGTGCTATGATTATGCGTGATGCAATGTTACTTGTTTGATTTTTACTTTTGTGAAAAAGGAAGATATTATGCGTTCGAGCCTCGCTCTCTAACTAGAGATTATCCAAGTTAGTTCTCGTTACAACCCATAGGCAACCTAGTGTTTGAAACCTTGGATCATAACTAAGAACTAATCTTGTAACCTCTAAGTCCCCAGTGGAGTCGCCACTGTAAGGAGGGTGTTCCCATCGTAGGGGATCATTCTCCTTAGATGCCCATGGTCCTTTAAAAGCCTAGGACTTTACACTTGTTAGGGTGTATTAGGATTTGAATTCCTGACAGTTTGGGAGAACTTGAATTATAAATGATACTCTCATCACGCTTTTTTATAAGAAATAAGTAGGAGTCGCCATTGAGTTTTAGGAAAACTCATAAACCTCGTTCATGCCTTTCTCCCAAGTAGAGTTCAAGGGATAATTAGCACGAATCGTAAGTTTACCCATGCCCAAATTGATCTACATAAACCAGAAATGAGTTCGGGAGCGAGGGTACTAAGATAACTTTCCCTTTAGAGGGAGGGAAAAAATTAGTTTAGATCATATCAAATAAAAAAGATTAAGTTCAGACCAGACTAGATTAGAAAAAATAAATTTAGATCAGTTCATCGTTTCATGTGCAGTTTTTTTATCGCTAAATATCTTTAATTTCGTAATGAAAAAAAAATATGAAAATTACATATTAATAATACACATTATTATGAATCTAACAAGACCCCACTTGATATATTTTTTATTTCCTTATAGATTATTGTACACTTAAGGTCAAAGTTTGGTCAAATAAGATAATCAGATTATTAGATCATATCGGACCAAATCAAATCAGATCGGATAAGTTCAGATACACAAAAATAATGTGAACCAAACAAGCCTTTTTAATGCAATATTCTTCGGTAGATCTCGTGATGGAGGAGGTGGGTGGTTTGATTTTGTGAGGGGGTCTTCATTTTCTAGGTAATAATCAAAGAAAGATGGCAGTTGATTGTGGGTCTTCAATTTCTGGGTGAGAATCAGGGGAGGAAGATGGTGTATAATGGTTGGTGTTGATGATGATGGTTGGTGTTGGTGTTGGTGTTGATGTAAGCTACTAACGAAATTCTGGGCTTTTTTTTTTTATTTAATGTCCATTAAAGTAAAAGATCTAATTTAGTTGTACTTGACCTCTTCCAATTGTATGTAATTTTAGTTGTACTCAACTTCTTCTAATTGTGTGAAGTTGGGTGGTAATTTGTAGATTGTTTATAATTTTTCACAATTTGGACAATTTACTATCACATCAAATTCGGATTTCGGATACATGATTTCTCGGGTCAGGTCATGGGCCGAGTTTCAAACTACCCGAAGATCTGGGTACCCGATGGTACCCGAAAACCCGACTACTCGGATCTAAACACCCTTAATGTTGGCAAAGAGGAAAGATGACAATTTTTTTAGGGTTAAATAATACCGTCGAAAAAATAGGTTTAGTTTGGATATTTATAGGTAAAGTACTAGGGTACTATAATACTCTTATGCGGAAAGCTATGCCAGATGGTTCTATCCATGGGGCCAAAGCTAGCCGTAGGGGGCTGAAAATCTCTCATCTCCTTTTTGCGGATAACAGTCTACTCTATGCAAGGGTCAACTGAAGAGAATGCTTGAAGATTGTCCAAATTCTCAACATATATGGAGTAGCTTCTGTATAGAAAATTAATTATGACAATTTGAGGTTTCTTTTAGCAAAGGTTTAGTAGCACAACGCAAGAGGAACTCTTGAGTATTCTTGCAATGCGGCGAGTTGATAAACATTCGAAGTACTTGGGTATCCCAACCATTGTTGGAAGGTTAAAAAAGATGGTTTTATTAGCTCTCAAGGATTGAATATTGAAGAAATTGATGGGTTAGAAGGAAAAAATCTTATCCCGTGCCAGAAAGGAGATTCTCCTCAAATTGACGATACAAGCAATCCCAACCTATCATATGGAAGTTCATAAGATTTCTATGTGTGTTATCGATGATCGAGATTCAAGCAATAATGGATAGATTTTTTAGGGTGAGGGTGTAGACAAGAAACGGGTCCATTGGAGGAGTTGGCGTGATTTGTGATCTCCCAAATGCTTGGGAGATACGGGCTTTAGAGAGTTAAATGTCTTTAATGATGCTTTGTTTGGTCGTCAAGCTTGAAGGTTATTATCTAGGTTAGATTCTCTTCTTAGCAAGGTTTTTAGTGCTAAATACAATGCACAAAAGTCTTTTTTGGACTCTAACGTTGGCTATAGGGGATTTTTCCAAGTGAAGCATTTGGTCTGCAAAATTGCTGATTAAGGAGGGTATGATATGGAGAATAGGTGAGAGTGTGGGATGATCCGTGGGTTGTCAACGGAAATAGCCGATTCATTTCTACTCTAAGGACTGATGAGATAGAATGTGTTATTGACCTCATTAATCATGAGACAAGGGAGTGAGATTTTCATCAAATTGCTAGCAATTACTCGTAGCATACTAGAAATTCCCTTAAGCTCCAGTGCTAGGCCTGAAATCATCGCTTAGTCTTTCTCCATGGACGGAATTTATTCAGTTAAGATAGCTTATATGCTCAGCAAATCGTGCAATCTCGATGATTTTCACAAGATTTGGGCGGAATTTTGGAAGCTAGAGGTGACTCCTAAGGTCCGACACTTCTTATGGAGAGTTTGCATGGGCACTCTCTTTGTGCGAGCTTGCTTGAAGTATCGTTACATGATAGAGAATGATGAACGTCCTTGGTGTGCAAGATGCCTGAAACTCTATGACATGCCCTTTTTATTGTCACACAGTTCGTGATATGTGGATTAATTATGAATGTAGCGAGATGTCCCTTTGGCCTCAAGATATGAGTTTTTTTTGGAACTTTTTGACTCTTGGCGAAATCTGGATCAAAAAAAGAAATACAGGGGAGATATTTTCTTGTGGAACATTTGGGAAAGGAGAAATGATATGATCTTCAAGGGTTCGAATACTCATCATTCCATTATTACCAAACGAGTGTTTCACTTTGCAGATGATTGCATCACCTACTACGAGAAGATTTATGGGGTGGCAAAAGGAAAGAGAAAGAGAAGCCCTAAAAAGTGGATAGCTGAGGTGTGATGCATCTCTATGCGATGAAGGCTAGGTGGGGCTTGGAGTGGCAGCTCATGATTGTAATGGTGATGTTTTGTTTGTTGTACAAAGACCAATATAACCCTTGATAAGTTTATCAAAAAGATTAAAAATAATTTCATTTCAGTTAAATAAGTTCAATTCAGTAAAAATAATTTCAGTTCAATAAAGATAAGTTACGTTCAGACACCCAATTCATCATCTCCCCCGTATAAATTTACATCAGCTCCATACGACAACACTGATTACTCTTCACAATATTCTAAATTGAATCTCACAAACACCCAATTCAGACACCAATTTTCGTCTCCCAAAATTCAATCCAATTTCCTCAAGATCATTAAAATATTTCATCCAAAAAAAAAAAAAAAACTTTTGAATGAAAAATCGTCGTAAATTTTGATCCAGAAAACAAATCTGTAACTTGAGTATTACACATTTATACTACACCCAAATCAAAGCTGTTTTTCGATTTCCCCTTTATCATTTGTTTAACGAGCATGTCGAAATCTTTGCCTTACTCCATGAAAGATGTTGAATATGATAATGCTAAGTTTCGGCAACGCTCTTTCACTAAGGTTTGATTTTTTTTTTTCTTTTTTCTTTTTTCTTTTTTTTTTCCTTACCCTTAATTTTCTCATTGGTTGATTTTTTGTTTTTTTTTTTCAATTGCACTTAATTTTTCTCTAATGTGATCTTCGTTTTATATAGCAAATTTATCATAATTAGTATGCAATTACTAAAATTATTGTGCTCAGGTCCGGATTTAATAATCGTGTTGACAGTGTAATTTGGACTAGCAATGAGATTTCTTATTCCAGATTTTGGGAATTTGGACTCTTGATTGAGGAAAGAAGCCCATGAAACAAATAGGGATGGTGGAGCAATTGATGTTGTGAGGGTAAAAAATCCGGTCCGGATTTGATAGTCGCGTTAATAGTGTAATTTGGACTTGCAATGTAATAACGTAGTTCGGATTTTGGGAATTTGAGTGCTTGATTGAGGAATAAAGCCCCCCTGAAACAAATAGGGATGGTGGAGCAATTAGTGTTTCTGGTTCGGATTTAATAGTCGTGTTGATATTGTAATTTGGACTAGCAAAGTAATTACGTAGCTCGGTTTATGGGAATTTGAGTGTTTGATTAAGGAATAAAGGCCCCTGAAACAAATAGGGATGGTGGAGCAATTGGTGTTTGCGGTTCAGAGTGAATAGTCGTGTTGATAGTGTAATTAGGACTAGCAATGTGATTACTTTATTTGATAGTCACATGATCTTGGTTGATTACTTATTGTTGATGTCTAAGAATATATAAGTTTCACTGTGTTTGGGTTTAGTTGTCATATTACTGGTTCAAATTATACTATCAACCCAAGTGTTAGTTCTTGATGGAGGAATTATTATTGTATCCCCTAAATTTCGGCCTTTCGGGTTTAAAAGGTTTGTTTGAGAGAGTAGCAATTTGGTGCACACTGTTTCTAGAACGCTTGATACAAATGGGTTTCCTAATAGTTTGATTATATTTGCCAGAGGATTATGTTGACAATGAAGTTGGTTAAATAAATTAAGATATAGGGATGTAACCGTATCTTTGGAATACATGTTCCTCCATATTTCTCTTCATATATTCTTCAAGAAGACCTCCTACATCTCATTGATGGATGCACTCTTGGGATGTGAGAAAACACATTTATGTTTCGGATTATTGGGAAAATATCTCTGTGAAGAGTTGAATGTGTGTGTGTGTGTGTGTGTTTTTTTTTTTTTTTCATATTTAAACTATGATGTAACTGACTAAATTTCTACAGTTCTAAAGGACTTTAATTCGCTTGAAGTTCAGTGCCAAAGATGGGGGTGTACGTTTTGTGTTGTGCTTGTGTGGGAAGTATGCAATTATAAAAGCATAAGGGTCTTTGAGCTTAATATTTTATTTATGGATGAATTTGTTAAATGGGTATGGATGATGATATTTAATCGGCAAGCTTTATTTATTTATTTATTTGATGGTTTAACAAGAGCTTGCCTAAAAAATCGTTCGTTGCTGAGAAAGAACTTGTGCCTGTAATATCTAACTTCATCTCTGACCAAGTGTACTGCACTTGCTGAGGTTGGCTTTATGACATAACCCTTACTCTATTATGAAGTTTTGATCAGTGACTCTGACCAAGGATATTGGAATGCATTACCCCTGTATTAGATGCTTTATGAATCGGATGTGAACTCTTCAGTAACGATCAACTCATCTAATTGTAGCTGAGGGATCATTGATCAAGCTCTCAGCTTCTAACTGATTATTTGGGTTAACAACATTTTCTAAGGTTAGCCTTTAACTTTGTTATTGACTAACGATTTACTGCACCTCGCCCTGCAAAATTACTGTTGATGTATCACAGAAAGTTTTCCCACTTCTGAATATACTATACCCTGCCTCTACGGTAAGAGAAATTCTCTATAATGTCTCTAGCAAACTGGGGCATATTATAGGGTAAAATTTATGCTAGTTTACCTTTGTAAGAGGCTATTGCAGTGGTAATTGAGACATGATTTAGCTCACTGGGATACATGTGAAATTTGTGACAGAATGTCAGTTACAGCTATGTGTAAATGAATTGTAGAACAGTAATTATGATGATGAGTTTTCCAACCAAACAAATCGCTTTAACTATGCAATTGAATGTGGAATATATACTGAAATTACTGCTGGTAGTAAAATTTGCTACTGAGGATTAAACTTCATTCACGAATTCTTGTCAGGCTTAGGTACTCCGAATTCTTATTTACGATACGATAGTAAGAAGAAAAATATATAAATCCTATCCTAAAAATACATATTTCCTTTTGAGGAATGTGAATCTTTGGGATTTGTTTATGATGGAGTAGATAGGACTCCAAACAATATACAAGTTTAGATATCAACTTTTCATCCTATATGAGACTCGCAATGGATTACCTACTTGAGGTGTTTGGTATGTATGAATTTATCCCTTGCTAGTGAAAAGTAGTATAGAGACGTCATCTACTCATTTCTGCTTTAGAACCTGAATTCTTGGATATCTAGAATGGTCATTAGAGCCAAGAAGTGCCTCAGCCAACAATTTACTGTTTCAACTAGTCTTTCACTATTTCACTTCAAATATTCCGTCAACTACTGTGTTTACACGATGTAGCGCATGCTCCCTCTTCTGCATATCTTCAATACTGTCAGATAGCTAGTAAGTAGCTCTTGCATTTCCAGTTCTAATAGTTGTTGACTGAGCTGTTGTCCTTTGTATTTTAAAAAAGAGTGTACAGTGTAGAGTGGAAAAAAGGTCTTTAATAAATTGAAGAATTGATCATGCTGTTCCAATGGTTTTGGTTCTTTTGTAGTTGGTTTGTTGATGCAATACATTGGTACATTCTTTTCTTTAAGGAACAATATTCATAAATTTTGCAACCATCATATTTATGTGAAACTGATAAGCACATTCTGGCTAGTAGAAGTCAGTAAGCCACTAATTTATGTTATCCTTCTCTGCAACATATACTAATATACATTTGCTTGTTCACATACTGGTACATCAGAAAAATTTGGTTACTAAAGCTATCATTGCTGTACATTTACTTTGACTAATGGATATTGTTATTTCATAGGTTCTTAACCAGACAATGCTGACCAAGGATGTTAAACGTAAATGTCTGGGATGCAGCACTGGGAAGTTTCTGGTGATAATTATGCTTTTTGGCCTTGCTTATCTCATTTTGAGACAACCAACACATGCTGTTTCTTCCCACGGGATAAAGGATAAAGCCAATGTTACAGTGAACACTAGTACCCGACTGAGGAGAGTATTTAGAAAACCACCAAGGCTACCCCCTCGATTAACACCTGATGAGATGCATACTAATAATAAATCTGTCCATCAGCTAGATGCAGACACATCAAAATGGATGGGAAAACAGCAGCAAGTTAAAGGGGCTTTTATTCATGCATGGTCTGGTTACAAAAAGTATGCAATGGGTTTTGATGAACTTATGCCATTAAGTAAGAGGGGAATAGATGGTTTAGGTGGTCTTGGTGCAACAGTTGTGGATGCTCTGGATACAGCCATGATAATGGGTGTAGAGGATATTGTTAATGAAGCTGGATCTTGGATTGAAACTCACCTTGCAGAAAGGATCAGTCAGAAAGGCCAGGTTAATTTGTTTGAAACTACAATACGTGTTTTAGGTGGTCTTCTAAGCGCTTATCATTTAAGTGGTGGAGCTAATTTATCATCTCCATCTGTGGGGCCAAAACCAAGTGCATATCTCAAAACTGCAACAATCTTAGCTGATAGGTTGCTTACTGCTTTTACCTCTAGCCCAACTCCCATTCCCTTTAGTGATGTTATACTGCGTGACAACACGGCACATGCTGCCCCTGATGGATTAAGTAGTACATCAGAAGCTTCTACACTACAACTTGAATTCAATTATCTCAGCGATGTACTGGGTGACCAAAAGTATAGCTTGGAAGCAATGAAGGTATTGGAGCACATGAAGACTCTACCAAAGGTAGAAGGGCTAGTCCCTATTTATATAAGGTATTGAATTTAGATTGAATATAAACTTCATCAGTTAAAAGATGGTTTGAGTTTTTAGCTCTAATTGCATATGCCTTTGTTTCTATTCAATGTTTTATGGATCTTGTTTATGCATTTATGCCACTCACCATGTTTATGTGCTATGTAGTACTATCAGTCTATCATGCTAGCTAGACAATGCTTAATTTTGGCCCTGGGTAAACCTTTTTATCTTGTTGAAGCCCAACGCCTCACAGTTCAGTTAGCTCCCTAATGTATTCCCTCGTGGCTTGTGAAAATTACATATGAAATATTGAAATGAATAGAATATTCTGTAAAATATCTAATGGCTAGAGATAAAAAGAAGTTACTAACTTTTTCTACTTATCTCTTCACAGTCAATTTAACAGCATTATATCATTACCCTCTATAAAAGAAAATTGCTATCATAGAGTGGTGGAAAGTGTATAGATTGAGAAGACATGCTTCTTTTCACTAGAAAAATTTATAATTCCGATGCTTACCTTTTCTATGTACTTTGAAGTTGGATAATATCATTATGTCCTTATGAATTAATGCAGAACATTTGTGTCAGGGTTCAAAATTTTTAATGTGTGAAAAATAACACAAATGAAATACTCAGAGATAAGAAACACAACACTAGATACATGGATTTCATCTTGCTTTGAATTGAGAAATGCTTATAAGACAGGAGTAAAGAAAAGTCGACAGATAGCAATTGTCCCATCAACCTGATTTGTTGGTATGGTCAATAGTTGATGTTACCATACATCTTTAGTGTGTCTAGAATGGTTTATTCAGAAGAGAGGTTATGGAACATGATTATGTTGCACACGGAGAAAAAAATTGACCCCCTTGTCTAGTGGTAATAAGAAGTGGTAATAGTGATTAATTTGTTTGTAATCTCATAAGAAATACTCATTCTTCATATACTTCCATTGCTACCCTATCCCATTTCTAGAAGTAGAAATGGGTGGTAATGAAAGTGTACGGGGAAAAAAAAATATTTGGGAGTAGAGAAACATCACCATAAACATTGGAATGAGGATCTCCTTACAAAATTACATTATAGATCCATTACCAGTGGTACCATTAATTGCTGCTTGTGAAATTAATTGAGAGGCATTAGACTCAATGGTATGTGTTGCTTGATTTAATGGTCATTTTGATCTTCTTACAAACTCTGAATCATGTTGTAGTTTTTGGGTTTGTATATTGATGATTGTTTGCATGTTTGTGTTGTCACTTTACTTCATCTTTATGTACAGTTTAATAATCATTGTTGTTTTGCACCTTATGTGTTTTCTAAGGCGCTCTAATTTTGCATTGAGTCATTCTATATATACGGCGATATTTTAGTAACAAAATGCTGCTAATAGGCGTTGTGTTTTCTACGGCGATATTTTAGTAACAAAATGCTGCTAATAGGCATTCTAATGGTTTTATTTACATAGAACTAAGAAGCCACATGCATGTCTTTAGATAAGACTAACCAGTTTTTAGTTACAGTTTGGATTCTATGTCATCTTGTCTCCTTCCTAGGAAGTAAAGATAGCTGTGTTGATTTGGCTCAGTCTTTTTTATTTTATTGTTATTGATACAAGCTCTTTTGTTTTGCTTCAACTTTTGTGTTTGCAGTCCTCAAACAGGTGAATTTAGTGGAGAAAATATTAGACTGGGATCACGTGGCGACAGCTATTATGAATATCTATTGAAAGTTTGGCTGCAACAGGGAGCAAGTCAAAGCAGAAATTTAACATATTTACATGATATGTATGAAGAGGCTATGAAGGGTGTTAGACACCTCCTTGTCCGAAAATCAATCCCAAATGGGATTGTTTTTGTTGGGGAGTTACCTTATGGAGCCAGTGGTTCTTTCAGTCCTAAGATGGATCATCTGGTATGTGTTTTTAAATGAAATGTCTGTTGACTTTGCTTTCCTTAGATTTAATGTTGTTTGTGAATAAATGAGTGTGTATATTGCCTACTGAAGCTTTTTAATCTGCCAAAGTTTTTTTGTCTTTTCTTGCTCACTGAAGCTTGTATGATTTGTTAAATATAATTATTTATTATTAAGGCGATAATTCTAAGCTATCCTATTTTTTTTTGTAATTTTTTAAGTACTCCCTCCGGTTTCAATTATCTGCAACAAAGAGCACTTTTACGGAAACCTAGGCAAAACTTTTAGGGAATTTTAATGACAAATTAGGGTATTTAATTAAGATGGAAAAAAGGAGGGAAATAGGAGAGAGAAAGGAGTGCATGGGACTTAGTGTTGCATGTGGGTAATTTGAGTGGGAAAAAGAGGGGTTAATGTGGTCCCCTACTCCCCTTTACTTTTTGAAGGAAATCTGTCACCAAAAAAAAGAGGGGAAGTTATTCTCCCTCTTTTTTTTTGGATTGAAAATTTGAAATTTTCACATTTCCACCCAAAAAATTTCAAAATTTTCAAATTTTAACATGTTTCAATTTTTTACCTACACATTAACTTCAGAACTGCCCTTATAAAAGGCAGCAAGCATTCAATGTTCATTCCTTACAAACCATCAGCCACTATGGCCTTCAAATTCTGAAAATTCAAATTTGTTCCCAAAAAAAACAATCCCCATTAATTACATATTCGAGTAGTCCAAAATATTTACTGCCTACACTAAAATTAGTCCTAAACTAAGGGCAGCATTAGGGTTCCGCTTCCAGCAGCACTTCAGAAAAACTTCAGCAGCCATAATAAATTTCATCACCTTCCTTCACACCTGCAGAAAAGGAAAAAAAAAAAAAAAGGGAATCCAACCAAATGGAAGAGTACTTTGATCAAGAATTTTTTGATATTGACCAATTACTGAATGAGGGACCACTTCAGTACATAAGTGAGGATGAGTACATGGAATATTATTCTGATTCTGACAGCAGTGATGAAGAAGAAAACAACAATGAAGAGGATGTACCACAACAACAGCAAGCAACTAGTAACAGTCCACATAAAAAGACAAATGGTAGATGATATTTTAGTCAACATGCATGAAGGGGAACTGAAGAGAGGATTTCTCTCAGACATGGCTAGAAAATATGGGGTACACAGAAGTACAACCCTTAGGCTCTGGAAATTTGTCAAGCAAAGTATAGCAGAAGGGAATGTTCTAGATGTCAGAAGCAAAAAACTTGGTAAAACAGGTCCAAAACCAAAGGACATCACTGATGAGTTCTTGCAGTCTGTGCCATTGTATAAAAGGACAACAGAAAGGAGTTATGCTTCAGCCCTCAAAATTGCACACTCCTTTCTCCATAAATTGAAAAAAAAAAGGCAGGTTAAGAACACATACAGCAACAAATCATCCAACCCTTACATCTAACCACAAAGTGGCAAGATTGAAATGGGCATTACAACATCTACACCCAATTTCAGCAGTTGGTAATCCAACTTTCATGGATATGCAACAACATATACACATTGATGAGAAGTGGTTCTATATGAACCCTGAGACAAGGAGGTTTTACCTGTTACCAAAGGAAGAAAACCCCTATAGATGCCAACAATCAAAGAGATACAAAGTTAAAGCCATGTTTATGGGGGTCATTGGGAAACCCTTGTATGATTGCAATGGACAGATGTTACATGATGGAAAGTTTGGTATTTTCCCATTCACTTACCAACAGAGGGCTAAAAAGAAAAGCAAAACCAGAGATGCAGGGGTGATGGAAACAAAGGTTGTGGAGAGTGTGAACAAGGATGAAATCAGGAAAATACTACAACACAAAATCATTCCAGCAATAAAAAGACAATGGCATCCTAGTCTGCCTAAAGACATTTTCATCCAGTGGGACAATGCTAGGCCACATCAGATTCTTATGGATGAGGAATTCATTGAAGCCTGCACATCAGATGGTTTCAACATTCAAATGGTGTTGCACAATCCCTAGACCTAAATGTGCTGGATTTGGGTCTTTTCAAGGTCATACAATCACTACAATATCAGTCATTCCCTACTACCCTGGATGAACTCATAGACAAAGTGTATGAGGCATATGAGTGGTTTGATCCTATACTAAACAAGTATACATGGATCACTTTGCAAGGGGTCATGATGAAAATTCTAGAAAAGGAAGGGGGTAACAACTTCAACCCACCTCATATGGGCAAGTATAGATTAGACAGTCTAGGTCTACTTCCAGAAATATTGGAATGTGAAAGGGGTCTCATTCAACAAGCAGTTGACCACCTAAACACTCTATTCATCCCTGTTAGCCAATGAGGTGGATGCAGACTAGGGACAAAACAAGAAAATCATTCAAGCCAGGCATGACTTCCACACATAACCACACAAGTACTCAAACCTTTGTTTTTGTCAAAGTAAGCAACTGTTTGTTTTTTCATGCTTATTATGGTTTGGTTATGTGTATTTTGGTAGATTACCTGTCATCTTTATTAGGCAGTCATGTATTGAATGATTAGAATAGAACAGTTGCCATGAAATGTTTGTGTTGTTGTCAATTATGTTTAATTTATATTCCATCAGATAGATAAGTTGATTTTCAGTGAGATGTTGTGGGTTGTTACCTCAACAACATCTGTACAAGACAGTTGTTGGAGCTAAATTAACCTATAAATCCCACTCAAACTGAGTCCCCTCATCATTTGGAATGTCACAAATCAAACATCATTGACTGAGGGACTCAATCATACAAAAGTGAATGAGGGACTCAATCTCAAATCCTTATTAGGCATAGGCTAGCAAGAACTCTTAGGCAAATACATATGGGGACTTGTTAGGCACCAACACATGCCTCATCATACATCAACATTCCCTAGGCTAATCATGAAGACAACAATAGGCATACACCAACATACATGGGACTCACACAATCATAAAGCCAGAAATAGGCATACATCAACATACGTGGGACTCACACAATCATGAAGCTTGAATTAGGCATACACCAGCAGCAATAATCATCATCGGTAAACAGCCATCATATTAATCACCAACATCACAACATGTATACACAAGGAACAAGCATTTAGTATACAGGCAGCATATGAATCACCAGCAAGTAGTGTAAACAAGGGCAACAAACAAGGACAGTAAACCCAGTTCAACATCGACCATAAACATCAACATAAGAAGGCAGCACAAGTAGTTACTTCCATTTCAACATCAACCAACAAATTTTAAAAATTCAAAAAAATTAAATAAGGGTTAAGGAATAGTTACGCTGCGCAGATCAGTTGTTGGGGGGGAAGTCATTAGGGTACTTGTCCCTAAGGTAAGCCATATAGCAAGTGTCCCAGTCGTTGTAGTCCGGAGTGAAGACAAATCTCACTCTTTTCGGGACTCAGGCAAAACCCTCCCCTTCCCCCTGGTGAGTCTGGAATCACCACCACCTCAATAGGGGGTTGAGGAACTACAACCTCTACCACCTCAGAGTCACCAGAGGACTCCGACACCACAGCAAGAGCGTTTGAAGGCCCAACAACACCCTCCGCAGTAACAACGGGACCCATTTCTAGATCAGTACCTTGTTTTCCGGCCAGATGTGGAACTCCTCCACCCTAGTTAGCACCCCTCTTCTCCTCGTCCTCATCACTGGAAGTGTATTCGCTCAATTTCGCTCCGATCTTCCCTCGAGTGTAACGGCGGAAAAAAGCTGTGCAACGGCGAACAGGCTTCGCAATACCAGTGCCTCGCTGTAACTTGTACATCGTAGAACCCTCATATCTACGTTCTGGGGTGGTGTTTTTAGGGGACTCATCGCCGTTTCCGTCCATAGTTACAGAGAGAGAAGAAATAAAAATGGAATTAGGGTTTCACAGAAGAGAGAGACGAGAGAAAACAGGAGAGAGAGTGACGAAAATGAAATAAGGGTGAAGGGTTATGAATAATTTCCTCCAGATATGATGAATGAGGGTAGCAAAATCGATACATTTTCAATGAAGATCAATCAATGAGGTGGTTGGGAGTTGAAAGGGTTTAGAAATCAGAAGGTATAAGGGGCTTAATTTTTGGTGGGAGTCATTAAATTGTGTGTGTATACTTTACAAATGTTAAACAACATTAAAACAGAAAAACTAAGGGCAAATATGTCTTTTAACACAAAATTTTTTACTAAAAATAGAAATAAAAAAATTTGTTGCAGATAATAGGAAGCATCCAATTATGGCAAATGTTGCAGATAATTGAAACCGGAGGGAGTATAATTTTACATCTTTTATTTATAATACTTCATATATAGCCCGTATTGACTCTTTCCTATTTTGTTTTATTTAAATTTCCTCTTCTTTTTTGCTGGCTCTTTGGAAAACCACGTATATAATAAAAGTAATTTTTTTTTTTTTTACTAATTTAGCAATAAGGTTGCATAATTTAGGTCTTTTACGTTGGCTGCTAGTTACTTGAATGTATTTAATTTTGTATTATTATTTCTGCCTTTAGGTGTGTTTTCTTCCGGGCACTCTTGCTCTTGGTGCCACCAAAGGCATGACTAAGTCAAAAGCTATGAAAGAGAACTTGCTAAGCTCTGAGGACCTGGAAAATTTAAGGCTTGCTGAAGACCTTGTTAAGACTTGTGTTGAAACGTATTTCGTAACTTCCACTGGTCTTGCTCCAGAAATTGTTTATTTTCATGTGGAGGTCAGTGATTTCATGTTACTTTGTCGAAAGTATTAAACTTTTTTCCTTGCAGCAGTTTTGATTGCTTTACTTTGCACCTTTTATCTCCCTTGTTATACATATGTGGCTGCTGTCTGATAGAGATTTATGACCCATTTTTTTTCAATTGAAGCAGAATTACTTTGAAGAAGGGTTTGATGGTGGAAACAAGAGTTCAAAATTTCTGAATGACATAATTATCAAGCCTGCTGACCGTCACAATCTGTTACGTCCTGAAACAGTGGAATCCTTGTTTGTCTTGTACCGCATAACAGAAGATCCAAAGTTCGTCAAATTTTAATACCTTGTTTATTAGAGATTTATTGGGTTTTTTTTTTTACTTTATTTAAAAGCACTTTCTACTCTGCAGGTACCGTGAATGGGGATGGCAGATATTTGAGGCGTTTGAGAAATATACAAAGGTTGATTCTGGCGGGTATACTTCTCTTGATGACGTGACTTCTCTTCCTCCTCATAAAAGAGACAAGATGGAAACCTTTTTCTTGGGTGAGACACTGAAGTATCTATACTTACTGTTTGGAGACAGCAATATCGTTCCACTAGACAAATATGTTTTTAACACAGAGGCACATCCTATTCCTATTAATGCTTCTGTCAAAAGGCAGTGATGCATGATGAGTTTATATGGTGGATAAAGAAGCATTTGACCTTGCTGCGAAATATGGTATGCATGGATCTAGCGCTTACAATTGGCCTATTGTTTATTCTTGCAAATTCTCAAATACTTCTTTTTGCTCACTACTGAACAATCTATTGACGGTAATTTCAAGTGAAACGTGAGCCTGTCTATCCCATGCAACGGAGGGCAGATTTACACTGGTAGCTGCTGATTAAGGGCTCCAGGGGGTAAACCGGTAAAGCTTCTTTGAATCGTGGTTTTTATGACTGTTCACTTTCCAACATGACTTTGTTGTAAATTACATGCACGGGAAAATTAGGTTATACGCATAGTGGTCTTCCCCCTTTATTCACAAACAAATTAGACTCACATAATTTTGCTGTCCCAAATGACATTTGTATTAGACACCGTCCATTTTATACAAGTGATCTATAGAGTTGCAATTTATCTGGAATTCTATGCTCAGCAATGATTTTTTTTTAATTTTTTTTTTCCCTCTCCCACTTTCACTTTCTCAATTTTCTTTGATTAGTGTCTTCAATTTATCTCTTTACCTTATTCCATTTTTCGCGATGGTTTTTGTGACAATTCATGTAAGCTGACCCCTGAACCTAAATCAGTTTGGGACTGTGCTTTATTGTTTTTGTAGTTCTGCAATTAATTTGCTTTGGACTGCTTGAATTATTGATAATTTGATGCACCATCTTTGAAAGAAATCTGTATTCGCATGCTGCTCTGTTCCCCTCTTAAACCTTTAGACTATGTTTGGATAACAAAAAATGGAAGGAAAGGAAGGGAAGGGAAAGGGAGGGAGACAAAGTTCCTTGTTTGGATAATATGTTGGGGGAGGGAAGGGAAGGGGGAGGGGGAGGGGGAGGAAGGGATCCATTTTCCCTCCTCCTTTAATAAAGACCATCCCTTCAAAATTGGAGAGAATTGGAGGGAAAATAGAGCTCATCATTTCCTCCACTTTTCCTTCCTTCCCCTTCCTCCTATTTCCCTCCCTTCCATTTCCCTTCTAATTTGTTATCCAAACATAGCAATTGCATCATCCACACAATTTAGAGTATTGCAGATTTGCTGGTTGATAAGGTTGAGAAAGAAGCCATAAGCCATTAAATAATTTTGCAGGATCATCAAATTAATTTGAAATTTGTTATATAGTTTCCGAATTTGAAGGAGATAGGTTGGATCAGCAAAGCTGTATGTTAAGATTTTTCTAATCTGTAGGCGGTTTTGATTCATGCACAATACGCCGCTGATCGTTGGTTTTGTTTGTTGGAACATAACTAGCTTTAGAGCAAGTCTTGAATGATAAATTGCAGGCAAGTCTTGAATGATAAATTGCAGGAAATTAACATTACCTAAATGCTGATTGGTATGTGTAATTATCTCAATTTTAACCGGAAGACCTGATTTGACTTTTTGTGGGTTGACATTGCTCGCATGTTATGTGAAAAGCTGAATGTTGAAATTGATTATGTTAGCCAATTTTGACTATCTGATTGTGTAAATTGATTTGACTAGCTGATTGTATTAGTTGATTATATAAAAGTGTTTGATAAATAGTTTTTTTTTTTTTTTTTTTTTTTTTTTTTTTTTTTTTAAATCTGTTTGTGTATGCAAAATGACCAATAAGGACATTGATATATTTGATTGTGGTAGGGTTTTGGGTTAGTTAAATGATATAATTATCATTTCACCTTAAAATACTTGAATAAGCTAATGAAAAAGCTCATCCAAGTATCATTATAAGAATGAGCTTATTTGGTGAAATAAGCTCTTTGAATAGCTCACTACCAAGTACCTCAATTAGCTTATTGTAGTGGTCAGTCAATTAACATTGGTCAATTAATTGATTGTATTAACTAATTGTATAAAAGTGTTTGGTAAATAATTGATTGCTTAAAGTTATTTGAGTATATGAGATGACTAATAAGTTAATTTACAGGTAGTTAGAGATAATGTTTTAGAGTAATGGGGTATAAGTGTAATTACATCTTAACATATGAATAAGCAAAAAGCTCCTTTTGAAAAGGAGCTTATTTAGTGGAATAAGCTTTTTGAATCAGCCCACCACCAAGCACCTCAATTAGCTTATTATAGTGGTTAATTAGCTAATATTAGTCAGATAAGCTAATTTTCTCTACCAAACACGTTCAAACATCTTATGTGAAGTGTAAAGTACTTGATAATATTCGCATGATGTAGTTACCTCAAGTTCTCACCTGTAGCGATCCGACCCATAATCACCTCTAGGCGTAAACAAAAAGAAACAGGAGCTGAACCACTAATGCAAAGCGAAACAAGTATCCTATAGCAAGGACCACTTGTGTAAGCCGAAACAAAGGCAAAATGGTCCTGAAAAGGGCAGGGCAAGACACTAAGGCAGCCCCTCCCGCACATCCCACCGGTCCATATATAAACTGGCCGATACACAAAAACAGCTGATGACTAATGACTACACAAAAAGGGCGCTCCCTAAATTGATCATTTGTTTGTTGGGGACCGAATTGACACTACCCCCTCCCTTTCTTTCATGTTTGCTCACTTTTTGCAATTTGAGCGCAATTTCTCAACTACTAGCACGTTGTTTTGTATCTCGCTTTCTTCTACATTTACTTATTTTGTATTTTTCTATAAATCAACAAAGTTGGTAAATATCTTTTCCCTTGTTTTTATTATAGTGGTTTGTAATGCATTTGCATCTCATTTGATTGAAACAGTGACAGTGCCATTTTTATTCCAGCATGTTTGAATTTTCGAAATTGTCTTTGCTTCCTTACATTTTTGTCAAATTTAGATACTTGATATTTCTGGACTTCTGGTACAAAATAGTGTGTGCTAATTATGCTAGGTACTTGATCATGGTTCATGACATCTGATATTAAATCTTGTTTACATCATTTGTCTTTGGGACGTTTTTTTTCCTAAACAAATTATGTGGAAATAGCCAAATAGGTACACCATTATCGGTATGATGGCTAACCGTTTCATTTACTCAAGGGAAAGGTAAACTAGGTCAATTTAGAGGATAGTTAAAAAGTTTAGTTTAGAAAGGATGGATATCGTACTCATATTTTTAATTCCGTTTTGAAATCTGTTGCGGACAGGTAATTAAAAGTGTACAAAGGTAATCGATTTTCTTGTTACACTTTTAATTACTTGTTAAAGAGAAAATGAAAAAAAAAATTACAAATTATAAAAAATTAGACCAATTAACTATCATAAGACCACTTTGTAGGTGGGTTGGGGCGTTAAGCCAAGGAAGAGAAAAACCGGTATAGAGTCACATGCATGACTTAATTACAAAAGTGGTCGAGTACGACGATCATACACAAGTGTTTCTCTAAATATAGAAGTAGATGAGGTGGTTGTCGAAGAAATGAGGTATTGATTGTGCTAGGAGGGAGTCCTTGCATAAGGAAAATATTAGTTTGTTGTTATATGACTAAGTTGGAGACGTAAATGGTTTATTACTAATGGTGTTTGTTCCATTTATTGCTTACTTTTGTGTGTAGAATTATATACTAAGGTAATGCTTGCTAAATATAGTAAAGGGAATTGGATCACTGATTGATAGTAATTTCAATGTTGTTCAAAATGATTATCATTGGAAATATGTATGCTAGTGTTATTAATTTGGCAGGACCTTTAGGAGGACATCGATATGTTTATTTACTAAACATGATTCGAAATGATGAACGAATGTAATTATCTAGCCTGTTGATTGTTACAATCTTTTTTAATGTATCGCCAATCTTTGGCTATGCTATGAATTTACCAGGTATGGCTTTAACAATTTTAGATGTTTTATATGTATGTAATAATTGAATGTCATAATATAGTGTGAGAACTTGGTATACTTATTATGCAAGACCAGCTATCCGCCTGTCTTGTCTTTATAGTACGTCATTTTATAATTTTATAGAGCCTTAAAGGTGCATACTGATCCCATTGTAATTTGGAGACTAATGCACAAGGGTACTTGTGACTTTATATATATATGTTTCAAATTTCTGTTGCATCGTTTTATCATACAGTCATGCAATTGACCAAACTGAATTTCTTGCTTTGAATGACAAATTGTTGGTGACAATTGCTGTGGAAAGTTAAGTCCACTTCAGTAAAGTCTAAATGCAATGTAGAACAAAAACTATTGTTATACAATACTGATAGACAGTCACAAGGAAGAAGAGGTTCAAGGACCTCTTTAATAATCTACTGTTGTATTAAACACTCAAATGAGGGCTTCCCCTTTCAATTTCAGTAAGTTAAGGAACTTAATTGATTTACAAGTTTCCTACCCAATTATCCCATCTGTTCTATGATACACTTTTCATTTCCTCAAAATTTATTTTGGAAGGAGGTTAGAAGAGTTCCATTTATTTGCAACTTGCATTCTAATTATGCAGCTAAATTGCATTGGACTCTTTGGAACCTCGATTATTGCAGAAAAAATAGATGATCTCCATCTCTAATGACACCAACATCTTCTACTTCTGCATTATCAGTGCTGGTAATTCTTGTAAAGCATCCACCGAACTTCTGGCCTGCAGTGCACAGGTGTTTGACATCAGAAGGATACACAATAGATGAAGCAGCAGGAAAAGATAAGTTTCGCTATTGAGTTTAAGAGTGAGATCTGATCCATCATATTCAACTGTATCTTTCTAAAGTAAAGGTTTTTAAAAGAGGAGTTTACCTGCAATACTGAACAGTTCTTCAATGCTATCAGGCAGAACAATCAATTTTCCAAACTGCTTCTCTATACGGTCACTTTGTGACTGCACGTGAATGATAACTCTAATATTATTGTTTAAGTTTGTAGTTGCTACTCCAGAATAGCTTGGTCTAGACATCTCTGCTACTGCCTGGCTACAATAGTTCTTGCTGCATTCTCGGTTCTCATGGTTGTTCTGGAACCCTGGTGATTGTATTTCACCAGCCTCTACACTAATCCTATCACTTGATTCTCTTTTTCTATGAAGTATTTGTTCACTATATATATTTTCACTTCCTTGTTGCACTGAGAAATTTGATGCTCCCCACTTCGTGTCAGCACCTTCATCGACCAGAATCTTAACTGCACCAAGTTCTTTATCCTGAACAGCTGAACCAAACTTTGGTTGATCGTTTTGGATCTCTGATTGAATTCCCATGCCACATGTAGTTGGATTGTGGAATTCTTTAGCGTCCACCTTGTACGTGGCCTTCCATCCTTCATTAGTCAAGGAACTTTCATGGAATCGGGCTTCACATCCAATTGTAGAGCACATTTTACATCTGTGTGGACCATGAAACCATCCACCACAAAGGTATTCCTCAACTACTGGCTGCATTAAACAACCTAGGCTTTCTAGAGACTTGAGTTTCTGCAAAAAAAGATTAAGAGAATGACATTAGCACTCTGTCACCAAAACCAAGCCCAACCTGTTTACTCTTTAGCTTAATTACCAGATACAGATTGCTCATAATGATGTGTCCGTCTTCCTTGTGTGTGTGAAAAGAATTTGTAATCGAAGTTCTATTTAGCCTTAGTATCTGAGACAGCTCTGTGGTCCGAACTGTGAAGGGCTGCGGTCTGTCACACAGGACTCCAATATCTCCAAATATATCTCCTGCAAGTATCTTTTGAATAACCTGCATATTCTTTTCACTGTCAGACATCATGAAACTTTGATTACCCTTTATGCTGTCACTGTTAAATCGAAAGCACAAGTACCTGTTCATGCCCATTAATGTGAGCTACCATGTCCTGTGAATAAAAAAAAAAAACCAAAACAGTTCCTTAGTCTAGCAGCTCTTTTGTGAATGCCTGGCATTTTAAAGCGCTTGAGACAAATAGACTTTACCAGTGAACCGGACACAAGGATATACATATCTGTTGGCGCTTCATTTTGTAAAATGACATCTTCTCTAGGTGGGAAATATTCAGCCTCTATGTCTGAAAACTGTATACAAGGACTTCATAAGTATATCATCATTTTAGAAGAAATCCTGCAGTGAATCTTTTTTAAGCGTCTTACTGTTAGTTTTGAAGTTTGACGAGCTAGAAGATATCTTACCAGTTGTAAAAAAAAGTTTTGTGATACTCCACGGAAAAGCTGTACTTTCTGGAGAATGGGAAAAAAAAGATGTTGTGCAATGTTCGAGCGAAGAGCTTTGGGAAGATCATTCAGGGTCTCATGCTGTTTTAAACTGTCTGTTTTGAACTTCAGACAAATATGTGACAGCATTTGGTCCTGTATTCGTGGAGGAAGCTGATTGCGTGTTGCGAATTCTGAACAAGCCCTGACTGTATCCCTCTGTAGATTCAGTTGAAACGAGCAATAAATTAATGCCTATCTCTCTCTTTTTTTTTTCTTTTTTTTTTTGTATACTTTCCCCATCTCATTGTCGTTGTCTGAAACATCTATCTTTCTGGTCCCTTTTCATTATTTTATTTGGTTTTTCTAGACTAATTAGTGCATTCTATTATCCAAGATGTTCGGAGTCTTGAAAATTTAATATTATTTTCTTATCAGTAAGACAGTTGTAGCATTTTTGTTTTCTTTTACTCAAGGAAGATATGCAGTTCTTAAATTAATCACAAGGTTTACGTTGCAGGCTTGAAGCTACAATTCAGTTATAATGTATGCGAATGGTATGAACTATGTATTGTTTCTTCAGTTTTTATCTAGCAGTATTGGAGCTTATTCTACAATATAATTAAAGCTGGCAGGAGATGCGAAATTGAAGCTACTTACAAAAGTTCGGGTGTGACTGGTCCAGTGAACAACAAGGTTTGTCATGTTTCCGATAAGATAAGATGTGAGTCCGAGGTTGAACAGCATGTAGAAGATGTCGAATATCATCTCAATTGTGTTTTCAGCATGTAGGTCACCGTAACCAGTTGTAGTTAGTGTCACAATAGACCAGTAAATCGAGGAAATATATCTTTTCCCTATGCTCTGTGATTTAAAATCCGGATTTACTGCACCAATCCATGTTTTCTTCGGATCAGGGTATCTATCTGCTATGAGATAATAGAAGCATCCAGCACAGTGAACAGCAAATAGAGTTACCTGGAATAAAATCGTAGCCATGAGAATTTTTTTCGTCTCAATGATTGAACTCAATTATTGTAGTTGACTATGACAAAGTTAAGTGAAGTTCATGATGGCTTACTGAGACAAGTTTAGTGCAGCGGGTCCAAAAGTAGTTGAATCTGATATCTTTCTCAAGCCTGAAGTCCAATAATAGAAAAGAAGAAATAATTTTGATGAGTATCTTTTGTCAACTCTGAAATGTGATGCAGAACACAGATAGATAAAATATGGTTTATTCCGAGTTCTGTTTTGGACCTTGCAAACAGTGAGCTGACTCTTCGAAGTCTCCAGAGTCTGAGCATGTTAAGTGCTTCAAACCCCAGTCCACCATTGTGGTTCGTAAAGATGAGGCTGAATGTCTGAAGAGGCGCTGTTGAGCAGACATCGAAAATAAACCAGGTTGATAGATACCTGTATGAAGATATAAGAAAAAGTTTAGCTCAAATTTCAGCAGCTAAAATGACAGAACTGACAAAGGACTTCCTGTTTCTGACCTGACTGCAATTTTCTTATGATCATCAATAAGTAGGTAAGACCTACGATCAAGATATGCAACGAAGAAGGTAAGAACTATATCAATGGTAAAAAAGGCATTGACAATGTGATCAATGATGAAGATTGTATCCCGTTTATATGTAAGGAACGCGAATTCAAAAGGGCAGATCCATGCCGAGTACACAACCAGGACAACTAGAAGCATCTCCCATGCCCTGAAAATATTAAAAAGTAAGCAATGAGAAACTGCATATATACCATAGAATATGTTCTCATTTTTGCAGGGTGTGGCTATCTTACCTATAGCGAGGATCAAAAGGTGAAACAATATGTTTTTTGTGTTTTATGGCTTGGTTCATTCGAGCACCAAGAGATGGCAAGATATCACTAGAGAAAACGTTACCATAGCTACTTCCTTCGATCCTCAGCTCATCTGTGTAGAAGCGGTTGAAAAATGATTTTGTGCAAGAAAAGGACATGCTTAAGTGCTAAAAGAATTTTTGTGGCGCTCAAGAGCAGATAAGCCGTAGTAAAAGAGCGTCCAAAAGTTATTGTGCAGGCTTCTAAGCTGTGTTTGGAAGGTTTTATATAGTGAGGTAAGAATCTATTATTCCTATTCCTTGAATCTTTTGTATTTGTCAGATGACTGTATTATGGCAAGGAAGTAGCGCGTAGCTGCCATGTACTTGTACAGATGAAGAAATTTAGTGAACGCGAACTTTCTTTACATGTCTCAATAGAAATGGCAAGCAAGTATACGTACAAATGGACCAGGAAGAGATCTTGTGTATGTAGAAGAAAGATCATGGGTGGGGTTATAGAGAGATATAGAGCAATTAATGTGGCAGAGATACGTCTCTTTTGTGTTTTAAGTTTTTGCTGGTATAATTTTATTGGGTCCATGGGTACGAGAAATAGGGAAAGCACTCGGAAAATTGCTAGTTTATAGGGTAAAAAACCAACAGGTTCCTGATGTAAACTGGAAGAAATGTTACAGACTTACGGTTAACATCGATGGTAATGGTAATGGTAATGTTAACGAGTACGACTAGTATTGGTGGAATGGTGGTGCAGGAAGGAAGTGCATCAGTAAATTCTGTAGTATATGATATGTAAAAAATTCTGTAGTTTATATAGAAAAGGAGCTGTGAAAACTTGTTAAAGGCAATTCTGGAAATTGAGTTGACAGATTCTGAGTTAATTGTGTTTTGATGTTTTGACTTCCAAATTCCAATTCATAGTTTAAAGATAGAGGGAAGCCAAATTCTCAAGATGACCCACATCCACCCCACCCCAATCCCCACCCCAAAACACACAAAAAACAAGTGAAGAAAGGAAGGGGACCAGATTATCCCAGTGGATTCTTGATTATTTGCATAATGTGAAGTAGCCACATGGTCCAATAAACAAGCTTTTAATATATATGTTTATTAGTTTTTTTGTTTTGGAAATATGTTTTAGGTTAGAGATTAATTGGATAAGGTCATGTCCTCTTCCCCTTGATCACATAATTGAAATTATATTATTGATTGGATTGTATTAAAATTGAACGGAGTTAAATTCTGCTGATTATGCGAAATTCGTGGCTTTTATAATCTTGGTTTGATAATAACCAAGAATAAAGAATAATAATGAAATTCACTTAGAACATGTATGTATTGTCTTACTAATTGAACTAGTTGAGAGTGAGGGGTAGCTCAAGTGGTTAGAGCTTTCCTCCCGATTCCAGAAAATCCTGGGATTGATTTTCATCACCCCCGCCCTTGTGGCTCTCTAAGCACCAAAAAAAAAAAAACTAATTGAACTAGTTTACTTTTGAAGCTATTTTATTTTGATTAGTCTTAGAAAAAGTTAAAGTTTTTTTTTGCTCTTTCTTTATCTATATCCTGTCTCAAATACAGAATATATATATATATATATATATATATATATATTTTTTTTTTTGAAGTGAAGGAATTACAGGATCTCATATTGTCAAATGAAATACACAAAAAGCATTAACTAATTATTAATCCTAAGACTGAGCTATATAATTACATAAAAAGAGACTTTGATTTTGAAGTGTGGATGCAACTTAGATCTCCTTACACCCAGTACTAAATATTCCACACTAAAAGGGGGTGGTGTGAATGAGAATTGAACTGTGACCTTCATGTTAAAGGACCAATTCAACTAAAAGACTTAAGTTAGCGATTGGAGTTCCATGATTGATTTTGTAGTCTATCGCATACTCCTAAATGGATGAGGTCTTAATCTCTTAGACGCATACCATGTGCACTTAAATGTTAAATGAGAATATAGTCCAATAGGTTTGGAATTTCTCCATTATTAGATCTCTTAATAATGAAAGCGCCATTGTGTAATGTACAGGACAGCTCAATGTTAGGCGAGGATCCAGTCCAATAGAGGTGGAAGCTCTCCCCTTGTGTCCTTAACTGCCTCTAAATCCCATGAAGTTTTTAGTTTGTGGTCCACTGTTGGAAAAGTTAGCACCATGTTGCTCCTAACTCCTAAGTCATATCTTAATAGGGCTTTTAATATTTAATGAAATTAAAGTTGTTTTTAGATTCCAACTTGAACCAAACTAAACTGAACTAATTAAATCGATTTAAACATATATTATAGGTATTTTGGTTAATTATAGGGTCCACCTAAATTGCCAATGGAGCATTCGAGGAGGATGAATGTTTAATATCCAAGGACAAACGATGAATGTTTTAAAACAATTGTTTTATGTTCATGCATAAATAAATGTTATGCACTCCCTGCATTTCCTTAAGTTTTACTCACTTTTTACTTTCATTTGTATTTATGTTTTAATTACTTATGCTTAATTTCTATAATTTTAAGTTAAATTTTTATTCATTGTTTATCATCGATAACCATACTTTTTAGTTCCAATTTAATTAAATTAATTTCTTAAATTCTATCACTTGTCAGAGTCCATTTTACAGTATCTCAAAAATTAACATGGTATCAAAGCCATGTTGAGTTGAGTTGTGATCTGGGCTAGTAATATGGGCAACTCACATTTGTGAGCGAGTGTTAAGCCTATGAGAAAACCCACGTGTAAGTGACAGTGTTGTCCCAGATTGAAAAAAAGAGAAAGTTATGTTCATTTTTTAAGGTTAAAGGACTTACTTCTCTCAATTTCTCATTGCCATATGATTTTAGGATGGACTTTCCTTTGGACTTATGAGGGGACTCTATCTCTTAATTTGCAGCTATGTCCCAAATCCGTATTTAACAAAAGTACTCACATGCATGTATACCTATTTTCATTTTTTCTTGGTCTAATCGAGTAGAATTCAGTTAATGAAAAGAGTACGATATGGTCAATATCACAACTGTGGTATAACAACAACCAAAAAAAAACGGACAATGTCTATGGCTAAAATTAATTTGAAAGTTTCTACAATGATGGTGACGGTGGTTGCAATGGATTCGCAAAATAGCAGCATATGTGAAATAAAGGAGCAGGTGACTGACAAAAATTTACATAAGATAGCTCTTTCTTGAGAATCTGAGGTGACAAATACATCCATGGTAGAGTAACTATGGAAGAGTAAAGGCACACAGCATCCATTGACCATTATTATTATTGCATATTTCTGTTTTTCCATTTTTTAGGTAATAAGTTTGCAACTATTATAAGCATTGTGAACTTCCTTTGTCAAAAAAAAAAAAAAAAAAAAAAAAATCTAATTAGAAGGGTAGTTGTGTTAACTTATAAGTTCAGTATTATTTTTAAACTAATAAAAAATACACTTTCTTTGTCATCGAATAATCTTCTAATGTTACTGATTCGATATTATATTTCATCTACGTTATCAATTTTATTAGTTAAAAATTATATTTATTGAACATATATATATAAAACTGAATAACTTTTTACAGAATATTATATTTTAAAGGTGAAAAGAACAAGGCCTTTGTTTTGCAACTTTATTTTTATTTTTTTTATTTTCCCAAACTGGAGACCTTTTTTTTGAGACTATATATATATATATATATATATATATATATATATATATATATATATATATATATATATATATATATATATATGGAGCTTTCTTAAATATAATTAAATTAATTGATAACTATTTTTAGAGCGCTTAGCCAATTGATTTGGAGTAGTTTGGGAAAAATTAATCAAAATGTTGGACCATTATAATACTCTGATTAGTTCATAAGCTAACCTTTTAATGCATAGGTTAAATTTGTTTTTTAAGTTGGTACTGTGATAAATAAATAATATAGAAGTAATAATTAAAAGAATTCTATGTAAGGTTACTAAGGCATGCAATAGTATGCCTTGGTAGATTCATGATCTTTCCAAGGTGCAAAATCGTATTAACATTTTAGATTTTATTGTACAATTATATTGCTGCTGAGAAGGTCAACATGTTTATATTTAATTTGAGGTAGGAGAAAACGTAAGTGTGTGTAGAGTCTTCTTTTGGTCAAACAAATCTAGCAAGATAATGTAAAAGTTCAATTCTATTTGGAAATAGATTGTCTTTTCATGCTTCGATTTATCGCATATCTCATTAACATCACAATCTTATGGTTCAGTTGCATGTTCGATTCAAATTGGTATATGACTAATTAAATGGAACATTTCCATTTGAGTTTATTAAATTCTGACTTATTTATTATCGTGTCAAATTTCAAAAACTTGTACAATTTTTTTTTTATTATTATTTTAGAAAAAGCACAAATAAGATAATGATGTAAAGAATATTTGATCCAGTTTTAAGATTTTAACTAAGCAAATAAGTTAACATTCATCCAATACAATAAACAATAGAAGGTTTCTTTATACCCGTATTTCTAAGTTATTTAACCGATCTCAAAATATCCTGCCACATTGCAACAACTAACATACCAATTTGTCCCTATATAAAACGGTTCTTGTCTATCACCTTCGATGAACTAAAGTTAAAGTAGAACTCTCAAGGAAGACCAGGTTAATTGATTAGTATTAATTGTGAAAAAGCTTAAATGAGAACCATATGTGTGAAAATAGATTCTTGCTTGTATGTATCTTACTATCTTATCCCATTGAATTCATTGATAGCCGACGTTTTATAATATAATCTCACGTCCCAAATACGCTATATGGTTTGACCCACTTTCCTTTTCAGCTGCCTCCGTTTTGCCTTTTTCTTTCATTGAAACGGGTAGGGTCCCCCATCTTCTGTACACAAATCATAGATTATTAGAATCCAAATCATGCACCTCTATTCTTATTTTATTTTTGATTTGGAATATTCTTTTTCCTGTGAAATCATCGATAATTTTTTTTTACAATTTTTTTTTGAATTTTTATTTTTTTTTAAGCAAGGAAAAATCATCAATAATTATTATTAAGCCTTTTGTGATTCCGTCTTGAGGTGTCAATTGTACGTCGAGTTTGGTTCAGTTGGGATGAATTTATTTTAAAATTGAGTCATGTTTTCATATTTATAACATGTTTGATAATTAGCTTAGATGGCTAAATAGTCAATTTTGTTGTAAGTGGTTTGGGGTTCAAATCCTCTTATCTTTATACTTTTTTATATTAGTGATGATGTGGCATGTTGTGATATTGGGTAGGTGACGTGGCGCCATCAAGTGTTTGTGAATTGACGTTGCGTCATGAATTGTTTGTGAAGTGACGTGGCGTAATTTGGAAAAGTCTACGTGGCGCATGGACGTTTTTATAAACGCCTTTTAATATATTAAATATAGATTATAAAATGAAATATGTATTTTTAAGTTGATTTCAAGTTAGGTTAAGTTTTGACACTTCTACTACCGTGAAATTTTTTCCCTAAAAACGGATGCACCGTGCTCCGTGCATCCGGATTTCTTTTTTTTTAAAAAAGGTGGAATGAACATATATTTGTTTAGTAAAGAACATATAGTTCTTTTGTAAAGAATATATAGCTATTTCACAAACTTTTAAAAATCGGGTGTATAATATTATTGTACATCCATTATAATGATAGCCTAAAATGATCAAAAGTTACCCCTGATATGAATAAAAGTTATTCCAATATGCATAAAAATAACCCAATACAAATAAAAATTATCTACGCTTTAGTAGTAAATAATCGCATTTTAAGTGACTAAAAATCAATTATTGGTGATTGAATGTAATTAAATTACTTTTGTAAAACTTTTCTTATTGTCTATTTATATAAAAATTGTATTATGTTTAATGTTACC